AGACATGAAGAAGAGGGGACACATGTTGATGTAGGAAGAGACATGAGAAGAGGGGACACATGTTTGATGTAGAAGAGGACATGAAGAAGAGGGGACACATGGGTGATGTAAGATGACATGAAGAAGAGGGGACCACATTGTTTGATGTAGAAGAGACATGAAGAAGAGGGGACACATGTTGATGTAGAAGAGACACGAAGAAGAGGGAGGGGACACATGTTGATGTAGAAGAGACATGAATGAAGAGGGGACACATGTTGATGTAGAAGAGACATGAAGAAGAGGGGACACATGTTGATGTAGAAGAGACAGAAGAAGAGGGGACACATGTTGATGTAGAAGAGACATGAAGAAGAGGGGACACATGTTTGATGTAGAAGAGACACGAAGAAGAGGGGACACATGTTGATGTAGAAGAGACATGAAGAAGAGGGGACACATGTTGATGTAGAAGAGACTACGAAGAAGAGGGGACACATGTTGATGTAGAAGAGACATGAAGAAGAAGGGACACATGTTGATGTAGAAGAGACACGAAGAAGAGGGGGACACCATGTTGATGTAGAAGAGACATGAAGAAGAGGGACACATGTTGATGTAGAAGAGACACGAAGAAGAGGGGACACATGTTGATGTAGAAGAGACATGAAGAAGAGTGGACACATGTTGATGTAGAAGAGACATGAAGAAGAGGGGACACATGTTGATGTAGAAGAGACATGAAGAAGAGGGGACACATGTTGATGTAGAAGAGACATGAAGAAGAGGGGACACATGTTGATGGAGAAGAGACATGAAGAAGAGGGGACACATGTTGATGAAGAAGAGACATGGAGAAGAGGGGACACATGTTGATGTAGAAGAGACATGAAGAAGAGGGGACACATGTTGAGGTAGAAGAGACATGAAGAAGAGGGGACACATGGTTGATGAAGAAGAGACATGAAGAAGAGGGGACACATGTTGATGAAGAAGAGACATGAAGAGGAGGGGACACATGGTGATGAAGAAGAGACATGGAGAAGAGGGGACACATGGTGATGAAGAAGAGACATGAAGAAGAGGGGACACATGTTGATGTAGAAGAGACATGAAGAGGAGGGGACACATGGTGATGAAGAAGAGACATGGAGAAGAGGGGACACATGTTGATGTAGAAGAGACATGAAGAAGAGGGGACACATGGTGATGTAAGATACATGAAGAAGAGGGGACACATGTTGATGTAGAAGAGACATGAAGAAGAGGGGACACATGTTGATGTAGAAGAGACATGAAGAAGAGGGGACACATGTTGATGTAGAAGAGACACGAAGAAGAGGGGACACATGTTGATGTAGAAGAGACATGAAGAAGAGGGGACACATGTTGATGTAGAAGAGACACGAAGAAGAGGGGACACATGTTGATGTAGAAGAGACATGAAGAAGAGTGGACACATGTTGATGTAGAAGAGACATGAAGAAGAGGGGACACATGTTGATGTAGAAGAGACATGAAGAAGAGGGGACACATGTTGATGTAGAAGAGACATGAAGAAGAGGGGACACATGTTGATGGAGAAGAGACATGAAGAAGAGGGGACACATGTTGATGAAGAAGAGACATGAAGAAGAGGGGACACATGTTGATGTAGAAGAGACATGAAGAAGAGGGGACACATGTTGATGTAGAAGAGACATGAAGAAGAGGGGACACATGTTGATGAAGAAGAGACATGAAGAGAGGGGACACATGTTGATGAGAAGAGACATGAAGAAGAGGGGACACATGTTGATGTAGAAGAGACATGAAGAAGAGGGGACACATGTTGATGTAGAAGAGACATGAAGAAGAGGGGACACATGTTGATGGAGAAGAGACATGAAGAAGAGGGGACACATGTTGATGAAGAAGAGACATGAAGAAGAGGGGACACATGTTGATGTAGAAGAGACATGAAGAAGAGGGGACACATGGTGATGAAGAAGAGACATGAAGAAGAGGGGACACATGTTGATGAAGAAGAGACATGAAGAGGAGGGGACACATGGTGATGAAGAAGAGACATGAAGAAGAGGGGACACATGTTGATGTAGAAGAGACATGGAGAAGTGGATTTTCCATAAAAGGTTATAATACAAAATAACATGTGTTTGCCATATTCACACAGATGAGGGTGTTGGGAATGAATGGAGGAATAGAGGTGAAGATATGGCAGATAAGAAGTTACTAGCCCATTGAAACTTCTCATGCGTTAGACCTTTGCTTAAGGCCGGTGCCGAGGTGACACATTGCTATTCAAACAGCGCCACTTGGTTTTTAATTAAGTGAAACTGCATTGAAACCCATCCCCTCCCCTCCTTATCATCGTAGCAAGAATGATGCAATACGTGCAATTTTATGATCCACTGAATGCAATTACTGGACCTGTCAGAGCTGTTTTCTGTGATGAACGCACTTTGCAGACTCAGCCCATTAAGGACTGTTTACACACTCTTTCTCTCACACTCACGCACTCAGACACAAATACAAGACATGCATGAACGTATATTACAGTGTGACTGCCCCAATTCAATTCAAAGCTTTATTGTCATATGCACATTACAGTGGAGATATGGCAATGAAAATCTGAAGTCACAGGTTCCTCCAACAGTGCAACATACATAGAACAAATACAACAGATAAAATAGAAATAGTACACAGCTTCCATTTAGTGTTTTCAGTTAAGCCCGCGTCACACTGTCCCGAAATTGACACCCGATGGACACACGATAAAGTAAATGTTCAAATTCGGCTCTGATCATAGCAACATCAAGCCATTCGTGAGGGCATCTTTAGCCATCGTATGACCGCCGGTGGAGATTCTCAGGCTCCGGCAGCAACTTCGTGAGCGGTGGCAAAATCTTTGGCATGCCAAAAAATTGAATTTGTGCGTCCATTTTGCCCTTCGTAAGGCCATCGTGAGGCTATCTTGTCAAATCGTGTCATCTTCGTCTTTACTTCGAGTGATCATCGGTGCCATCGGGCATTTTTCGCCTCACGAAGACAATACGAAGGAAACAAAAATCTGCCCGATTGTCTTAGGAAGGCAACACGACTACGTGAAGCCCTCGCAATGCCGTCGTATAGCCATCGTGTTATAGTACGATGACATCGAGATTGCATTTATTGCACAACAAAATCATGTAAACATATTATGTAAATAACCCAATTTGTGTTCTGTGAAACTGAAAAGGATATTATATTGTTTTTGTTACTGTCGTTGCAGTTGTATGTCTTAAATGTAATTTAGGTTAACTTCCTGTTTTATTTAGATGCTTTTATTTCGAAGGCGAGTTTACGGTGTTGACAGGAAGTTGTTGTTGCTATGGAAACAACATGACGGAGTGTGTGGTTCGGGTGCCATCGTGTGGCCTTCTGTAGGCATCGTACTTGCTTCGGCTGTTGCTTGGCTATTGACCAAGTTCGGGGCCATCTTCGTGCGAAATTCACAATTCCATATTCGTGTGTCCATCCGGTGTCAATGTCGGGACAGTGTGACGCGGGCTTAAGCATCGATGGTGCTGGTATCACTGGATGCAGAGCTGATTTTAAGAGCAGTAGTTAGTTATACTGAGCATTTTTTGGTCTGGTTTTTTATCCACTTTTTCGACTGTCGCTTTCTTAAATTCTTTGGTTTGTCCACCAAGGGACTATTCACACTGTATCTGCGTGAGTTTCTGAATTTGAAACATACTGGAATACAACCAGTCTTCAAGTCTTACTGTATGCGAGTACCAAATACTTAAACATTGAAATAGCACTTACCTGGTTCATCAAAGTCAAAGTCAACTTTATTGTCAATCTTTCAGTTTGTGTGTTTAGACAGAGATCGAAATACTTTCCCACAATCCCAGAAGAAAAAAAATACAAATATATATTTAAATAACAATATATACACATACATACACACCTGTACACCCCACTTATATTGATGATCTACACTCAGTAAGCCCAAATCCAATTGATTGTATGCAAAACATGTATTCAGATGTATTTTAAACGTTTGTTTTAAGGCTGACTTGACTTGACTGTCCAGCGACTACAGATGAAAAAAAAAGCATCTTGGCAAACTGGCGCATTACATAAATGTATTTTAATGTTAAGTCCCTGCTAAATAAATACATTATAAATAAAATAACACGAGAGAATATTTGAAAAATTGAGATTTTAACAAATAATGTTTTGGTAAATATGATGCTTTTTACATGACACTACTATAGAACATTTCATTAGGAGTTTATAAGGAATTTAAAATGTCCAGAATCAGAAATATTTCGTTTATCCCAGGAGAAATTGGGTCACGTGACAGGCGCTCTTTTTTAGAATGAAATACAATAAAGAAAAATTAAATGAAATGTAAATATTGTGGCTGTGAGGTAAAGGAGTGTGTCTGCCTGCACTGATGTGAGCAGCAAAGCATAGGCTCCCACAACAACATCAGAAATCGTTATTTAATAATAATAATAATAATAATAATAATAATAATAATACATGGGATTTTTATAGCGCTTTTCCGAATGCTCAAAGACGCTTACATTTTAATTTAAGACAGCATGAAGTTTGCCAAACACATCGACTAGTCCTCATCCCAAGGCCTTTTGTCTTCATACTTTTGGAAGTGAATTGTTAAAAATACCAAACCTTATTAAAATCAAGCATTAAAGGGTAATTTATCAGTCTTTATTTCATCCTGTCACTCTTCCAATAGGCCTCCATCAAACCTCCAGCAGTCTCATTAAACTCAACCAGTTCCTCTGAGCCTCGGCATCCCAAAACCTGCTGAACGGTTCACAGATGTTGCTATGGAAACGGTTTGATAGGCGGGAGCGTTTTAGAGGCTGCCCTTGTAACACACACACACACACACACACACAC